TCAACCAGCACCCCCAGGTCCTTTTCCGACAGGCAGCTTTCCAGCCACTCTTCCCCAAGCCTGTAGCGCTGCATGGGGTTGTTGTGGCCCAAGTGCAGGACCCGGCACTTGGCCTTGTTGAATCTCAGACAGTTGGCCTCGGCCCATCGATCCAGGCTGTCCAGGTCCCTCTGTAGAGCCTTGCTATCCTCATCGGGATGTGTTGGCTTGTCTGTTGAACCAGGTATTATTAAAAGGGTGAACAATATGTTCATTCCTAATTTCAAGCTTTTGGTGGAGAATACGTAAGGTTTTTATAATTTTAGGAATTATAAACGTTTTGTCTCTGGACTCCAAGGTGTCTCAGAGCTCGTGGAATTTGGGGTGTAGATATCAGACCATGTCTTGGCTCTGAAGAGTTTACAGATTACACTTGAGTTATCTAGAAAGCAGAGATGAGACAATAAGATAAACAAGCCAGCCCATGGATTGCAGTTTCATGGCACTTTACATGTCCAGTACATATAACAAAAAAGGATCACTGCCCAATAAAGGGTTAGAATGGGAACAAACCCAGGTATTTAGAGGAAGTATTTTAAAATTCAGGCATATTGACCATACTTTGACTTAAGCATAGAAATGGATCAATAAATGTACATTGGAATTTAAAAATACAGTTTTCTTCTCATGCAAGAGTTCTCATGGGAGAGTGCAAGCATGTCTTGTGCCTTCAGATTTAATCTTTCCTATAAGACAGTCACAGCTGGGTCAGGAAACTACTCCAATGCAGAAAAAATCTTCAGTCCTTCTGAAGATACGTGTCCAAATGATGTTGTGGTCATTAATAGTGAGATCCAGGTTGACCGAGCAACAGCTTCTGTAATGCAGGTGGTCACAAGGGAAGCACGGAGATGAACATGGTGAATGTAGACACACAGTGTCAGCCCCCAGCTGACCACAGAAACTCCTCCTAGAGAAACTGAAGATGTCGCCGGACAAGAAGTGGAAAGCCCTGTTCAGGACAGGAAACCTGAGAGGCTTGAGCATGCACAAAATTAATTGGCAAACAAGTGCATGTCTCTTCACTCTCCTGCTATTTGAAGGTTTCCTGCTGGCTTTGTTCATTAAAAAATTCCTAGTTGGTTCAATAATATAAAAATTAAGCAACATATGCAGAGACAGATTTCCCATTAGGCTGGTATTGGCTGAGTTAATGTTTTTAGTTCACTAACCAGAGGGCCCTAGCACAGAGCTCTGCTCGCCATCCTTGGGAGCCACGCTGCTGCTCCTGCACACTGGCCTCTGCAGGGAAGCTGCTTAACAGTGCACCCACCTGCATGGTTTTAGAAAGAACGCCTCATGCCCTGAAAAGCAAAAAGCCATGTGTCATGGTTTAACCTCAGCCGGCAACTGAGCACCACGCAGCTGCTCGCTCACTCCCCCTGGCTGGGATGGGGGAGAGAATCGGAAGAGTAAAAGTGAGAAAACTCGTGGGTTGAGATAAGAATAGTTTAGTAGATAAAGCAAAAGCCGCGCACACAAGCAAAGCAAAACAAGGAATTCATTCACCACTTCCCATCGGCAGGCAGGTGTGCAGCCATCTCCAGGAAAGCAGGGCCCCATCATGCGTAACAGTTACTTGGGAAGGCAAAACGCCATCACTCCAAACGTTCCCCCTTCCTTCTTCTTCCCCCAGCTTTATATGCTGAGCATGACGTCATATGGTGTGGGATATCCCTTTGGTCAGTTGGGGTCATCTGTCTTAGCTGTGTCCCCTCCCAACTTCTTGTGCACCCCCAGCCTACTCGCTGGTAGGGTGGGGTGAGAAGCAGAAAAGGCCTTGACTTTGAGTAAGCACTGCTCAGCAATAACGAAAACATCCCTGTGTTATCAATACTGTTTCCAGCACAAATGCAAAACATAGCCCCATACTAGCTACTGTGAAGAAAATTAACTCTATCCCAGCCAAAACCAGTACGCCATGTTTTTCCACACCCAATGTGAAGCTTGTCCTTTCCTTTTCTGCCCCTGGCTGAGGGTGGTCTGCCTTTCCACACTGACCGGGTGGTGGAAGTAACATGGAAGGCAACAGGCTGTGGGAGCACGGACGCTGCGCCTTGCAAAACATAGGGTTTATGTTGGCCCCATTTCACACAGATTTGAAAAGCTGGGAGGAGGGATATTCTGTAGTTAATGCAGAGAAATGTGTGGTTTTTTCCTCATGTGATTTCAGACACCAGCTAGCTGCTCTGAAACAGCCTCTGGAGCACCTGGCCTTTCTCCATGAACTGCAAAGGGCGCACAGAAAATGAGCTTCACTGGACTAGACTTGTACTTTGCGAATGCCACTTTTCTTCATCGTCTTTAATGGCCCCTGAATACAAGTACTTGCATTTGGATGTTTTTTGTTAAATTGATGTGCTATTTTATGTGAAGGGTGAAAACTCTTAGAGAGGAGCTGTTTCAAAACTTTTATGAATTTGGACCTAAAGAAAGTAGATTCTGAAATCAGAACCATCCAATGAGCAATTTCCTGGAGAAAGGAAGTACCACAGGGGTGTTGTACTGCAACACTGTATGCCTCAGGTCCACTGTTTTAGGGGAAATGTGTCAGTTTTAATATTACCCCATGGAGCAACTAGTAGCTCTAAATCACCCCCAAGAAAACCAATTGCTTTTAAGACTTGTCAATGAAGTGTTTTAAAATTCTCTTCTTTTTTCAGGATACAGATTTTTTTTAAATTATGTGGCATCTTACTGTGTCTTAATCTATTTTGAAATTGATACTATGAGAATGAGTGAACATTACTAAAAATGTTGCGTGCATCTCTTAAATAATGCACAGAAGGTAATTCCTAGAGCAACGGTAGCTGAGTCACAGGACAGACGATTACATTCACTGATGAAAAGGAAGGATGCCAAAATGTGATGCTTTGCCACTAATCTTTAGAAAAGGGGATTTCAAAAGAAGAGGAGACTAATCAAATGATAGGTCCTAAAGCTAAAAGAAACAAAGCTCTTTTAAATGCTATTAGAAGAAATTATAATTTAGGAGACATGAATATCACTGAACAAAAGGACACTATAAAAGCAAGGAATAAATCAATACGGCTGAAATTAAATTTTTCAAGATGCTGTTTGAGCAAAAGCACATCTTCACGATTTAGAAATTTGACCTAATGCAAACAAGGGCAAATAATCACTCACACTTGGTGTGTACAACGTTACATGAGCTGCACTGGAACGTGAAGAGCAAATACTTACACAATCTCGGTTGGGTTTATGTGTATATCAGACACGAAGCTTCCAAAAAATTGGTTTGTCTGATATTACCAGGAGCAAATAATAAGATTCCTAATGAGACAAATTATAATTTTGATTTTGCATCAGTCTCCATCTAAGAGGCTTTTGGGATGCTTCTACCTGGGGATTGCATGTTCCTGGAATTTAAGATAAGCTACTCTGAGAGAAAAAAAATACAGAAGCAAAATGGAGATGAAATTGTTGTAGATGATGAGGTTTAAATAGTACAGAGAGAAATTCTGAAAAACCAGAGTGTTTGCAGTGTCTTGTTCTAAGACACCTTTCCAAAAGCATAGCAAATGTTGGTAGCTGTATTTTTAATTAAAAAAAAAAAGTTGAAAGGGA